AGACGGGGAGTCCGAGCCCGCCCGCCCCCTCCCCGCTGCGGGGGGGCGCTGCGTTCGCACCCGCGCTGCTGGTGCACCCGCGGAGAAGGACGGGGCCTCTGGGGGCTGCACCGGCTCTCTGGAGCTGCCGTCTCTTTCCGCAGCGTAGGACCACTGGGGTTTCCACCCGCGATTTTGCTGCTCTCCTGCCCCGGAGCCCAGGGCGGGTGAGCCCGGCTGCCCCTCCCTAGGCTCGTGCTCTGACTGCCGGCCAGAAGCCCTTGCCTGGGGCCAGGCTTTCACTCGAAACGTGGAAGTATCGTTACATCAGGGACCTGCGTTACACGTTTCCCTAAGGATTTTATAGACCTGGAACTCCACAAAATCACCCAATTTTTATGAAGAGTTGCATGTTCTTTGAAAACGAAACTCAAAGAGAAGAACATTAGTCTGCAAGGCTCAGATTCATAAATAATTTGCCTTGGAGGCTATGAACCTGAAATACTACAGCATATTTTTTTAAGCAGTGCTGGTAAAACTACCAAGCCTTTAAGAGGGGTAAGATTCGGGACTCCCCCTCTTGATACAGTTTTTTTTTCTGTGGTACTTCCATTGCATGTGCTGTTTTCAGTCCTGTCGCTATAAGGTCTGTGCACAAGTCAGCCAAAGTGTAGGCAATAGCTTCAGTGGCCCCTAGGCTTCATTCTGGAGCAAGACGCAGTTAGCTTGTCTCTATTAAATGCAGCAGTCTGACTCAGAGGTCCTAGTGTTCCTGAGTGCTTTAAATGCCCTTTGTTCACTGGGTAGGTGGAAGAAAAGTATCTGACCGTGTTCTGAAGTGAGATGGAAAGCTTCTGAAATCTCTGAAAGAGCTGAGTGAGGGGGACCCTTGATGTTGGCCAATGCTGCAAAGTGGTGCACCTAGGTGTTAGCTGTTTGACCCTTGTCTTTTTAAGATGAGTCAGACATTGATGGTGAGTGCAGTATTTGCTACCGTGAGCTAGCGTGTCAGAATTCTCTTTTGTACAGTTTTCGCTGAACTTTTCTACTGTAGATCCCTTTTACAAAGGCAGAGGTAGACTTGTAACTAAGGTAGTTATGGTGCCTTGAAAATAATCTTTGTGGATCCAAGGGGGTAGGAACCCTGCAGCTTAGCTCTTAAGAGGGGGAGCTGGGCTGGGCTCAGCTCCTGGTGCACTTGGCAGGGAGCATGCTGTGTGTGTTCTCATGTGGGGAAGCTATTTCTGTACAGGCAGCCCCCTGCCCACTCATGCAAGTGTTAATGCTGTGGAAGTAAATCTCTGTAGGAAGTGTCAAACCCAGGGGCAGTGTCTGTAAGAGGAGTGCTTAAGGCTGGGGCTTAACGAATTAATGGGCCTCAGGATGTCTGCATGTAGATCACAGTTGATTAATATGCTCATTCAGGAGCACATTTTTTCAGTGGGGCTGTTAGGATTGGTCTAAACTTGTTTGAAAGCCTGTGTACGATTGTAAAAAAGCAGGGAGGAACTGCGATAGGCCCATTTTGACCCCAGCTCGCTCTGCCAGCTGTTGCTGGGTGTTCAGCTGTTGCAGCCAATGCCTATCCACAAGTGTGTGAACAGATACCTAGTCTCCGCTATTTAAACTGACACCTGTCCTCCTCCTCTCGCAGCTGACATCAGCCTTGCAGACTGGGGTCGCAAGGCCATTGAGATTGCGGAGAATGAGATGCCAGGGCTGATGAAGATGCGGGAGATGTATGCTGCATCAAAGCCACTGAAGGGTGCACGTATTGCTGGTTGCCTTCACATGACTGTGCAGACAGCGGTTCTCATAGAGACCCTCATAGAGCTGGGAGCTGAGGTAAGGTGTTGCTGAGTTTCTCCTTCTGGGAGTGCTTAGGTAATGCTCTGCTTGGGGCACTGCTGATTAGATAACTGCCTTGGGGGATCCTGCAAGTGTCTCTGCTTTTTGAAAGAGACCATGCTGCAATCTCCAGGTGGATGTGTTATGTCTTCACTCCTTAAGCAAAAAGCTTGTCACCTGTACTGTGTGCACCGCTGGGGTGTGTCTTCCTTCTGGACAAGCTGCATCTCCATGAGTGCCTGTTTTGGGCTGGGTTGCTGGCTTCCACAGCTCTGTCAGCTGTGTGTATAGCACCCTGAGCAGTGGTGCCAAAAGCTGCTCCCACGCAATCGTGTTGTGCTCGGGCATGCAGTGCTGTTGTTGGTAATGCTGAAGCTCTAGTGACTGCCTCCGGCACAGATTAGCCTGTCTTAAGAACCACACCGTGCCCCAGTAAAGTCAGCAAAGACTAATGAAGCTTTCTGAGAGCTCATTCTGGCCCTTGAGCTGTGCAGGAGCACAACAGGGAATCAGTGGGGTTCAGTGATCGAGGACTGGAGACTCCGCTGACTTTGTATTTGTTGTGTGACTATGGACCAGTTACCCTGGTCCATATTAAAGGCTGGGATACTTTTAAGTCATTTACTACATTGTGTCCTCTGCCTGGCTTGCTGAGTGAGGTCCAGACATCATGGCTGACTGTTCAGCGTACAGGCCATGAGGAGAACCCGGCATCTGAGCACAATCCACATAGCTTGCATGCTGAGCAGGGAGCTGACTGGAACTTGATGATGGGTTATGTTAAGTACGTATGTGATCTGAAATTCCTTCTTCCTGAAGCTTAACTATTGGAACTCAGGCTGCCCAGAGGTGCCCTAGATGGGATTGTGGGAATGGTTGAAAGAATTGAGCAGTGTCATGCTGGTCAAAAGGCACTGGGAGAAGGGGAAGTGCTCTCTCTGTAGCAGTTAAAGCATTTCCTCAAAAAGTGGAGGGGGCAGGTGTAGACAGCGTGCCAGGTCAGCCTGGGCAAGGTACATGCAGTTGTGCAGGTGGTTTTCAGCCTGTTCAGAGCTGTTCCACGGTTGCAAATGGTGCAGTGCTGAAAGAGACCTTTGATGTGGAGGTACAGTCCTGGCTTTATTCCAGTTACTCTGTGTATGAAACTCTTGTCCCTCCACAGGATTTGAAAGAAGGCAGTAGCCCCTGAAATTTGGGAAGCTCCTTGCTGCTCCTGTTGGTTGCTTGTATCCCAATATGGCTGGCCTAGGCAGCAGCTGTGTGCTTGTGTAAACATTGCCAAGCTGCTTTAGTCTGAGCACAACCCCAAATAAATGCTGTATGGGATTAAAGTCATTCAGGGATGTACCTGCAGAGATTTTGTTCCTCTAAGTGTAACTTGTGGTTGTGCCTGTAAGATTTGTGCTGTTGTGTTAGCTCCTTCCTTGTCTTGATGCCTGCACGTTAGTTTAGACTTTGACTTGACTTTGGATTCAGCTCTGGTTCATCTGTTCTGCTTAGGAGGGAGGACTGAAACTCTGGTGAAACCATAAACCTACATAGTGAGGATGTAGCTCACTGCAGCCTAGTAATCATGGTATCCCTTTTTTGGCTAGATTAACAAATATAGAATAAATACTCTGTGCCTTGGAGTGTAAGTTCTAAAGTTGTAATAAGAATGCATCCCCTTTGTAACCAGTGATGTAAGTATTAGGCTCTGAGCACATCAGGTATGCCAACTGTTCTAGGGTCTGTGCCGTTATCACAAGCTGGTGTAACATCTGAGGATGCAGAGTTGAAGTGGCCCATGTCTTGTATCAAGTTCTTGTAGTCTAAACAATATAGAGGTATTCTGTATGTTTGCAATTTCGTGACACCTCCTGATGTCATCTCTACTGATATGGAGGGAGCTTAGAAAAACCCAGGTGAGGAGGTGCACTGCTTAAGGTCATGGATTCAGTTTTTCTGTGCTCCCTCCAGGTGTGTTTTCACTGACAAGGCTCAGATGAGGTGCTTCCTGCTGCAGCCCTTTGAAGTGTCAGTTCTTGATGAATTGGGATGAGTATTGAAAAGAGGCTGAAGGATTATGCTGTATTGCCCTCTCTCCTCAAGGTCTGTTATAAATAAGCATGCAAATACTTGCTGGTCAGCCCTGGGGGGAGCAGAGTGAGAACTCATGTGTGGCTTTAGGATGTGGTGGTTTCTGTGCCTGCTGGGGAGCTGCAGTAGGTATGCAGATACTTTTCAATGCAACTCTGTAACAGGCTGTTGCTTTTCTACATGCCTGAGCCTAGTTATGAAATCTGTGGAAAGCACTTAGCTCAGCTGGAAAAGTTTCCATGACTGGAGCACAGAGTGGGAGTTGGGTCAGCATAATCTTAGAGAATGCCTTTTGAGTGTAGTGTTTCAGATGCATTTCTGATTCTTCTGAGTGCCAGCAGGTGTGTTGCTGCATGTCCATATCCCTCAGTGGACACTTGCTATGTGGCTGTCCTGAGAATCTGAACTTCTATGACCAAAACTTTCTAAACCCACTTAGCTGCACACTTCCTGAAGGTCTTACAGCTGAATGTATGCTCGGGCTGTCTGGCAGAAGCTCTCGTCAGTAAGGAGATGGCCAATTGTGGCACAGCTGAAGCTCTGTTACATTCTCTCCCAGAATGACATTATTTTTCCTGGCCTAGTCAGATACTTAGTTTTCACCTTAACTTTGCAGAGCTACTGAGAAAGGCAGGAATCTGCACTAATATACCTTTCTGCTCTTGCTCCCTTTTTAACTCCTGTCTCTGGAAGAGAGTGCCTGATATCTCAGAACTTTGTTCAGCAAACAAAACTTGCGTTGCTTTCCAGGTACAATGGTCAAGCTGCAACATTTTCTCCACTCAGGACCACGCTGCAGCTGCTATTGCAAAAGCTGGTATCCCTGGTAAGTTTTCTGTGTTCTAATTTGGCTCTGAGTTGGGGTGTACTGCCTCTTCTAGCTAAATCAAACTGTGTACAAATCAAGCTCTTCTGAACAAGCTTCAGGATAGAAACAGCCCATCAAAAGCAGTGATTGTTACAAAACAGGACATTTGATTCAAGCTGCATTGCATCAGGCTATGCATGGCGCTCCTGACAATAGCTGGTGTGAGGCTATGAAAGAGCGTGGCTGTATGTTACCAGCTTTAAGCCTGGTCATTAAGGTGATTGAATGGGCTAGGTAATTAAATGGATTGGTGTGTAAATGTTGTAGATAGAGTGCTTGGGACTTTCCAGCCCACTTGGTGCTGAAGAGGGGTTGGAGAAAGGATGTTAGCAGGTGGTGTAAAACTATTCATCAAGGAGCCTATCTGGCCATCCACTTCCACCCCCTTTCTCTTTATCATAACTCCCATACTAGCCCTCCTCTTAGCAGTCACCATCTGAACACCCCTTCCCCTCCCATTCTCACTTGCCGACCTAAACCTAGGCCTCCTCTTCCTCGTAGCCATGTCAAGCTTAGCAGTGTACTCAATCTTATGGTCTGGCTGAGCATCAAACTCAAAATACGCCCTAACTGGTGCACTATGAGCAGTAGCACAAACAATCTCCTACGAAGTAGCATTAGCTATTATCCTCCTGTCTGTCGTCAATTAGCGGAAACTACACCCTAAACACCCTCGCCATAACCCAAGAACCACTATACCTAATCTTCTCCTCCTGACCACTTGCAATAATATGGTATATCTCCACGCTTGCTGAAACAAACCGTGCCCCATTTGGTCTTACAGAAGGAGAATCTGAACTAGTATCAGGCTTCAATGTAGAATATGCTGCAGGACCATTTGCCCTATTCTTAGCCGAATATGCAAACATTATACTCATAAACACACTAACCACTATTCTATTTGTAAACCCTAGCTCACTCAACCCTCCCTCAGAACTGTTTCCTATTATTCTGGCCATAAAAACCCCACTTCTCTCCTCAGGCTTCCTTTGAATCCGTGCCTCATACCCTCGATTCTGCTACAACCAACTCATACACCTACTTTGAAAAAACTTTCTACCTATAACCCTGGCACTATGCCTCTGACATACTAGCATACCAGTCTGCTGTGCAGGCCTGCCCCCTTACCTGAGGGCCACAAGGAAGTGTGCCTGAACACAAGGGTCACTATGATAAAGTGAACACAGAGGTACACCACCCCCTCACTTCCTTAACAAAACTTAGAAAAATAGGAGTCGAACCTACGCAAAAGAAATCAAAACTCTTCATACTTCCCCTATATTATTTTCTAGTAGAGTCAGCTAACAAAGCTATTGGGCCCATACCCCAAAAATGATGAGGGGTTGGGGAAGTGTCCCCTGTTACAGTGACAGGGTCAATACCCAAGGTATTTTTAAGCTAGAGCTAGGCCAGCTGTCTTTCTGCCTGATATCCCTGAAGCAGTTTATCAGGATCCTGCTGTTTTGTTACTGTTGCCTTTCAATAAAGGTAAATTCCTTGCAGATCAGTAGGAGTACATTAAGCTGGCTGCTGTGTTACTCAGCTTAAGGACATAGAGTCCTAATGGCTTGGTGCTGGGAACTGCATGGCCTGAGCCTGGATGTGGGCAGAGGCTAAATCTGATTTCTGGCAGCCTGACTCTTTGCTTTGGGAGGTGCCTTTCATTTCTGTTGTTAGCTATTGCCATGAGGCTTTCCCCAGCTGTGGCCCATTCTAAGGTAACAGAAGAAAGGGGTCCCTTCATCAGCAGCTTTGGCCTTACTAGCTGCAGGCGTCACCCCTGCCTGTCTCTGGCATGTGATGCCAAAGGCCCAGGCCGGACTCTCTGGATCTGATGTTAGGATATTGCCTTCCTTACTGCTCTCAACACCCAAAACTCAACTGAAGAGCAGTTTACAGGTGGGATGTTTGTCTAAGATTTTGACCTCTGCCCTTGGTATCCTTGTTTTGTGGAACTTGCGCTTTTTGTTAATATTGCATGTCACATACTGAATTTGAGACCTTGGAGGAATGCTGACCCTTTGGATGTGATATGAAATACTGATGCACATTTCTTCAGAAGGGGCAATTGCATGATTGTCTCTTCATGGCTAAAGGTTAGTTTTCAGTGAAAACATGACGATTTATCCAAATGTTGGGGTATGTAAATTGTGTGCCTGATGAATATTTTGAATGGCTGGCTACCACTGAGGCTCAAGTATAGCATGAAGCCAGTACAAATGCCTGGAAAGATAAAACACGGTAGTGGTTGCAGCATGTTGCTGGTGATGTAGTGATGTAGAAACATGCCCTAGTAAGAGCGGACAAGGCATGGCAGCTTGGATTTTAGTGCTGTGCTATAGACTAGAATTTAAACTCAAAGTTGCTGAAGAGTTTGTAATCTAGTGCTTAGCTCATGCTAAAGTCTTGTCCTTTTCTATTGAGCTAGAAAATGCTGTAGTTGTGTTTTCATTTGTCTGTATCAATATATCCAGTGGCTATTTCTAATTCCTGTTAATGTAGGGTGTATTAGGGGAGCAACAGGGTGTTGTGGCTGTAAGCGTGCTTTAGTTTGCTTTGTCCTCTCCTTCTTAACATGGAAGAAAAATAAGGAGAGCAGTGAAGTCTCAAAATTTAGGCCAAGTTTGTGGTCTGGAACAAAAGGCAAAGTCATTTCACTTCTGCTCATTCTGAGATCTTTTTTTCAATGCAAATGTCTTTTCTGGCCTGCAGGCACAGATAATCATCTGTCTGTTGGCTCTGCTACTGAGAGCTGCCGATGAAATCTTCTGTTGGCTGCTTTACTACTGCTGAGTAAGAAACTGGCTAATAGTGTGTGTTTTGTTCCTGTGCAGTGTTTGCCTGGAAAGGAGAGACCGACGAGGAATATTTGTGGTGCATTGAGCAGACCCTGTACTTCAAGGATGGGCAGCCCCTCAACATGATTTTGGATGATGGTGGAGATCTTACGAACCTAGTTCATACCAAATACCCACAGCTCTTGAAAGGTGACTTGTATTTTGTTTTGTCAGGCACGGTTCTGCTTGGGGAGCCTGTTTAGGCAGTCTGTTTCTGTGGGAATTCCCTGTTTGTGTAAAAGGGGTGGGGGAAGAGGGACAGGCATGTGCAAACAAGCTATGAATGAGTCTGTGAAAATTACTTGCAGTCCAAGACCAGAATCTCTTAGCTGCAGGAGCTGTTTCCATCTCTGCTCTGTGGTATGTAAGCTGCAGTGACCTGTCCTGGCCATCCTTCATGGTTCCCATTACCTGAGAATGACCGGAGGTACTGCTGACTTGCCAAAAGCTTCCTGGGAACGGGCTGTGGTTTAGAATGTCTGCTTGCCATTATTTTTAGCGTTAATGCTTTTTCTTCCCCAATCTTAGTAAAAATGAAAATAGATCAGTGTGTGTTGCTAGCACATGTTTATGTAGAAAGATTTAACTGAAGGGAGTTTGGCATGACCCGCAGTAGCAGGCTGATCTGTGCCTGGCAAGTATGACAGATTCTCTTTGGTTCTGCTGGTGTCCATCATACGTGCTGCTGCAAGCCACAGGTGCCCCATGTTGCTAGAGAGCGTGCTTTTGGGACGTGAAGAAAACTGGATGGTGATATGGGGTGGAAACTAAACTGGTACAGTGGGATGTGCTGATGTTCGTTCTTGGTCCGTAGAGGTGAGGTTGCTGTAGAAGCCTGCTGGATCAGCTCTCCTGACCATTGCACTGCTTTAAGAAGAAGCTGTGGGGGAAAAATTCTGAAGGCAGCAGGCCGTGGGATAGGGCTGTGTGGGAAGAGGAGTGTGGGGCTGTTCCCCATCCATGTGCTCATGTGGGTAGGGGCACCAGGAAGAGAGGAAACTTCTCCTGTGTGACAGGCCTCACTTTCTCCTTCATCCTCAACCTGATGTCACTAGTAATCCAACAGTCAACATTTTTGTAATTTAAACTGTAACAAGAGGTTGTCATTGGTGTCTGCTCGGCCATGCTGGGATCCCCTCTCTTCTGTCAAAGGTCTCTTGCTTCCTAGATTGCCTCTGTCTCATGTTCATGACCTTGCTTTTCTGCTACTTGATGCCAAGGAATACCACAATTGATCATGCCTCCCTGTCTTCCTGGCATTGTCAGAGGCCAGAAAATGCATTTTTTTTCCATTGTCAGATTTAACCTTGGACAGCAACTAAACACCACGCAGCCATCACCATGCAGCCATTCGGTCACTCCTTCCCCCTCCAAGTGGGATAAGGGAGAGAGTTGGAAAAAAAGTGAAACTTGTGGGTTGAGATAACAGTTTAACTAAAATAAAATATAGTAACAATAATAAAATACAATAGTAGTTGTAATGAAAAGGAATATAATGAAAAGAGAAATAAAATCCAAGAAAAGACAAGTGATGTGCAATGCAGTTGCTCATCTGCTGACCGATGCTGGAGCAGCAACCCACTGCACCCGCCGTCCCCCCAACAACTTCTCCCACTTTGTCCTGAGCATGATATTCTGTGGTGTGGAATATCCCTTTGGCTACTTTGGGACAGGTGACCTTTCAGCTTCTTGTGCTCCTGCACACTAACAAAACATGGGAAATTGAAATGTGCTTGATTTCCTAGCAACAACCAAAACCATCAGTATATTATCAACAGCCTTATAATGAATCCAAAACACGGCACTATTCTAGCTACTGAGAAGGAAAATCAGCTCCAGCTGAAACCAGGACACCCATGTTCATACTCTTGTTTCGCAGGGTTGTTTCCCTTCCATGCACAGGCAGCACCTCAGTGTCCCTGTTTCTGGGGGTCCGTATGCTGAGCTCCTTTCACTCTTGCAGCCCTGCTGTCTGCTGCTTTCTTCCCGCCAGCCCTTTGCTCCCTGTTGTCCCATGCTCCTGCTGTGGAAGGGAGCGGTGTAGTACGGTGCAGTAGGGCAATGGCTGTTGAACTGTCTCCTGTCTTTGCATCCATTTCTCGTCTGCCATTGATAAAAACCATCACTACTGCCTGAGGTTGCTTCCTAAATTCATAGAAATGGCTCTTCCACTGGGTCTTTAGAGTCTAGGCAGGATGCTATACCTGTCAACGTTTCCCTTGCCAAAGTGTCTGCACTATCTGCGCTGACTGTAGTTGAAAAGCCTCCTTGCAGCAGTTCAGTAAACTAATTAAGACTGATCTCTGTGGAGGGTGATAGAACTTGATCTGTTTTACCTTCCAGTCCATTGCTCCTTGGAAACAGCAAAACTTACAGAATGGGACCTGTGGAGTAAAGCCTTGATCTCATTTAACATTTATCTCTGCACATAGCCCTTCTCTGCAAAGACTGCTTGAGTGAAGCTGTGTAGCATCTGGTTTTTTGTATCATGAAGATAATAGAGGCTAATAAATCCTAATGGCTTGTGGTGATATTTGACCTCTTTGGGGGAGAGGTGGGACAAGAGTAACATCAGAGCATGCACAGGGTGAGGAAAGATGGGATTGTGAGCGCAGAAGACATTGTGGCATCCAACATCTGAAAGTGCCACTTGCTGTTTAGAGGCAGGACAAGTTTTCTGGGCTAATTTCAAAGGGAACTGTCTGTCTTCCATGCTTCAGCTGCTTCTAGTGTATACAGAAGTTAGTTCAGTCCTAGTGTGCAACTAACAGTTGAAAGTAAGGCTAATTCAAGTCTGCTTCAACTAGGAGACGTGTTAAATAGCTGTGTGGAAATGCTCAGCAAGCTTCCCCTCTCCCTAGCTGTGACTGCTGTTAGAGGGCAGAATGGCCTTGGTACTGTTGCCTTATTCCACTAAACTAAATGCCCTCAAAACCAACATAAATAAAAGCAGGAGGGGAAAAACTAAACTGAACAAAGGAGAAAGTAATCTGAACTTGTGCGAGGGAGGGCTCTGGCAACTGTGCAGAGGACCGTGGTTGAGAAAGGATGGAGAAGATTGGATCCTTTGTGATCCATCGGTGCAGACTCGCTCATTGATCAGGTAAGTAGTACAGGGGAGCAAAGCAGGTCTGAGTGTTTAGCAAGACTGTTTCAGTTTAATTCAACCTTTTCCTTGCTGTAGGCCCTTTGCTGTTCTCCAGGCACTAAAGTCACTCGGGTGTTGACATTGCGTGGTGTAGGCAGCGCTTCCTTCAGCAGAGCTGCAAAGTAGTTTAGATGAGCTGTAAATGTGGCCTGGGGGCAGCAGGCAGGTGGTCTTTGGGGAAGGGATGCTGCTGGCCTGCGAGGTTCTCTTGGTGCCCTTTTAAAGACAATCTGCTGAGCTTAGAAGTGTCAGCCTGGAGTGCTTTGAAGGATGATGAATGTCTCTCCTAGTTGCCAGGTAGATCAGAAGAGGGCAGTTTGAACTGGAGGTTGCTGCCATGACCTCCCACAGATTTCCATCACAAGGGGGTGATGGTACTTGATCTAGGCGGTTGCATTGGAAAATCGATACTTTTGAGTCACTTACTACGAACGTTGTATCTCACTGAGCACCAGGCAGTGTTCTTTGAACTGTCCTGTCCCCTCCAAGCAAGCCCTGAATGTGCTAAAGCCTGAACTCCTCCTCCCTGCAGGTCATGGTCTGGGGAGTGTAGTTACTGAAGGCTCTGCGTGAGGTCTGTGAGCAGGCAGGCCTTTGGGGGCGGAAATCAGCCCAAGTGAGCGCTCTTTTTTTCCTTCGAGCATTGTTGGTCTCATTTCCTTCGTGTGACAGTGCTGGTGCTCTATCTGGTGGTCTGGGAAGTGAAAGGGAGGTCTAATGGCCCTGTCTGTCTGAGACTCCCTTGAGAGCTCTGTACAAGTTCTGCTTGAAAACCGCTTTGGAAGGCGCTCGGAGCCGTAAACCGGCCTTGTCCGTGCGCTTGGCCTGGGTTGCTCCTCTGGGCTCGGCCCGCTTCGCAGCTTTTTTCGTGTTTTAAGCAGTGGGGAGGGGTTTGAACCCCAGGGGGCATCCGGGTGCCGCTGCCCTGACGGGAGAGCTCGGCGGGGGGCGCGGCGGGAACCTCTGCGGGCGTGGG